GGGGTCCTGGGGGGGTGCTCGCGCCCCTCCGCCCTCTGTGTCTCCGGCGAGCGCAATGCCCTATAGCAAACACACAGCAAATGAAGTTCATGCACCGTTCCCCTGTGGTACATGCTTTGCATGAAGGCTTTGAAGAAGCTCTGAGGAGCCGGCAGCCGAGAGTTCATTGGCGACTTGGGGACGCCCCATTAGGGAGGGCTTTTCTTTGTTTTCAGAAGTGATGGATTTTTTTTATGCCGGTAACCTATTATCTCAGCCATCTGTGCGCACACTACCCACCCCGGGCGCCCTCACCTCCCTCCTGTGACCTGCGAAACCCAGGGCAGCACTTCCCCTTCCACGCGCACTCCCTGCTGCCCCGCTCCGCCTCTCTGAGCTCCCTGCTCTGGGGACCTCGTGGATGTGGGCGCACCCACGTGCCCTCTGGGTCCGGCTCCCCTTAGCAGGATGTCTGGAAGGCCCATCCACGTGTCGGAATTCTTTTTGAACGACATGCACACACGGGCCCAGGGAGCGCCGTCCCGTGGAGTCCGTGTGCACACGCACCAGCCGCGTCTATCCGCTCTGGCTGGACGCGGGGTTGTGCCTGCTCCTGCCCACGGGGGCGATGCGGCTGCGGGCGCCGGCCCGCTCCGGGCGCTGCTTCTGGTGCCTGTGGCCCAGACTGGGCTGCCGGAGGCGTGGCCTGCGATGAGTGGCTCGAGGGACTGCAGAGCCTTTCCATAGTGACCGCGCCACATCCCACCAGCAGCACACAGGCCCCCTTCTGAGTTCTCTGCACCTCCCCGACGTCGGGTCCTGGCCATCTCGAAGAGAGATAGCTGTGCTGGGCGAGGGCCCCTCCCTGGGCCTGGACCTACGTGTCAGTGCTGGCTGTCGGGAGCCCACGGGCGCTCGGGGACGCAGAGGGCCATAGGCGGGCAACTGCCGTCCTCCCAGGCTGGTGGAAGCAGATAAGCCAGGCTCCTGGAGTTTGGATGCAAGTCATTCCCCGAGCGGAGGAGCCTGGCTGGGGGGGCAGCAGGAGGGTGGCCACTGCCA